GCTAATAATTCTGACTTCAACTGTATATGTGTACATGTGTGTGTATATTCTTGTTAGTGATTAATAGTTCATATATTCTGTCAATAGTTTTTTTTTTTTTTGAACAAAAAAAAAACAGTTTGATTATATATTAAGCACTTTGTTCAAATAATAACTGTACATTTACTACAGTTTTTAGCCGTACTGAAAAATGTGTTTTCTTTCGCAGGTCAAGAAAGACTCCGTCAGCTGTCAGAAAACACAACCTACTTTCGCCGGAGATTGCATGAGATGGGCTTTATCATCTATGGAAACAATGACTCCCCTGTTGTACCCTTGATGCTTTACATGCCAGCTAAAATCGGGTCAGTGTCACTTTTTGTAGAACTCAATCATGGCTATTGTATTTGATGTGATGCTAGCCAGAGGACGACAAAGTTATTTATGTGTGCATGTATGCATTTATACTAGGACTGCATAATAGGACTGAACAATATATCATATGAGCATCGATATATTGCTATTTGTGTATCTGCAATAGTCACATCGCAGGATGAGATTCTAAGATCAAAAGATATTATTTTTATGTTATTGTATACAATTGTTTATACAATGATGACCATGTTATTATAAGTTGGATTGTTCCATTTCTATATTTGAATACTATCAACCACTGTTTAACTTTACTTTTTGCACTGTCGTATTTATATATGCTTGTAATTTATTATGTAGATCCACTGCATGACAAAATCTTGATCACCCTAGTTGATTTAAATCAGGGGTTGCCAAACTTTTCATCCCCCAAATGTCAATGCCAGTGACTCGCGACCCCCAATATCCTCTGAGGTGGTTATATATACAGAAATCTTGAATGCAATGGCGCATACACACCAATAGACCCAAGTCTATTCTTCGTTTAATTGTTTTAATGTATGCGAGTTCTGTAAATGAGCCAGAAAGTGTAACCTGGTGTTATAAAATCAATCTGCCGCATCTGATGCTATTGCTCTGTCTTTAATATAATGTAATTACCCCAGGGGTCACAATCCAATTTATAGTATATAGTAACTATAAACGACTATTTTTTTTCTCTTCAGTAGGTTATGGATAAAATATGGTAATGCTTATGGTTTAATAAAAATAAATCGATTTTTGGAAATCACCTGGCGGACCCACCACCCCCCACCACCCCATCTTGCAGCCCTACTGCATAATATATTGAAAAATTATAGTTATTATAATACTAATATATGCGATATCCATTTTGCAGATAAGTGAGATCATTTAAATCTTCTTAAGTGCCAGGACATCGTGTGTTGCATGCATAGATTGTTTATCTAAATTTGACTAATCAGATGGGGCCTTACTATCTTCATCAACTTAGTAGCTGCTGTTATGCTATTGGCTAGACTAGACCTAAAAGTAAGCACTGCAGGCGGCTGCGGACTTGGGGCACCATTGTGTTTGCCCTGGTGGAGGCCTGTGTTTGGAGTTCTGGAATGCGTTTGGCCACCTCTGGTCTAAATGTTTGCACACTGAATATGTTAGCCTGAATATGATTTAATTAAAACAGAAAAATATCTATTACCTGTTTATTTTAATATGGTCATTACAATAATCAATTATATAAAAAAAACAGCTAATAACATAAGCATTTTGTAAAGAAAATGTATTTGTCTTGTTTAAAATCTTAAATAAGGCAAATTTATTGCAGTACTCTGTATCACATATTGCATATTTTATCAATATTATACAGCTATAATTTATACTTGATTCTAACTTTGGAGGTTAAAGTTTGTTTTTGTGTGTAGTATTATTATTATTATTATTATTTCTTAAATTTAATTGTTTTATACTTGCTGTTTAGAGCATTTGGGCGGGAGATGCTGAAGAGGAACATTGGCACAGTGGTAGTTGGGTTTCCTGCAACACCCATCATTGAGTCCCGAGCACGTTTCTGTGTTTCTGCCGCCCACACAAGAGAAATGCTGGACACTGTGAGTATTTCATTAAAGAAAAGCAAATAAATGTTATAATGACAAAAGAATTCGTGGGCAGTTTTGAGTGTGCTTTTATTTTTACCTTATTTTAAGAGCTCATATTTTGCCCTTTTTACAAGATGTAAAATCAGTATTTTGTGTCTCCAGAATATGCCTGTGCAGGCAATCAAAGGCAATTTCCACGCGTATTTTGTCAGTAAAGCTGGTTATGTAATCAGTAATACATTTCCTGGATTCAGATTAATTTTACATTTACTACACAGAACCAGTTCACTAACAAGCTATGCAAAAAAAAAAATAATAATAATATATATATATGATTTATTTGGCGTGATCCTGAAATTCAAAAATAATAATTTTGTGATTTGACAGCTGTTTGTGTTACTTCTCAGTGAACTATGAACTATGAAAGGCTGCTATATCTGAAAGCATGTGAAAATACTACATTTATTGATGTTTATACTACAGTCGACTGAAAGTCTGAGTTTGTTCGAAATAAATCATTCTGTGAGATGAACCCATAGTTGTGTTTATTAGTTATGTTCAGTCAGCGAAAACAGTCTGCGCCAATAGCCTAGTGGTTAGCGCATCGACACATAGCACTGAGGAGCTCACGGCCACCTTGGTTCGATTCCCGGCTTTCCCAATCCTTCCCTCATCTCTGCTCCCCACACTTTCCTATCTTTACATTTTTTACTTCCTATGCAAATGAAGGTGAAACCTTTAGTGCAGATGAAAAATCTGTAAAAACAGTTAAATCCTCTTCTTTGCAGCTTGGTTTGTTTCCGCAAGAGAGTGCCCTTTGGTTTTGTGTGGTGAATTGCAAAATTCGATTTGATTTCAATTAATCGTCTGGTTCAGTAAAACTGTTCAAAGACACATGATGTAGCCAACAGGAGCATTTTGGTTCGTTTTAGCAGTTCATTTTACTGGGTGTCCGCGGGGTCTTAGGGTGCTTTCACACAGTAGTTCGGTTCATTTGGTGCGGACCAAAAGCAACACATTTTCTGCCATCTTTGGGTCCTTTTCACACCACACTGATTGCTTTGGTCCGAAGCAGTTGAAAAGAATCAAAATGCAGACATGTGACAAAACCCACATCACTCATTGGCCAGATGTTGTTAAACGTATTTTCAAAACTGCTTATCGATTGGTCAGAATTCACATGCCGGAAAATGCCAATGGAACTCGCGCAAGTAAACAAACCGTCAGACACAAAGTATCGCTTTTGACTATGGAGCTACAACTGCGCTCATAGTACATAGTGCTCATAGTATACTATATAGTATGTATACATCACTTTAGACCAGGGGTTTCCAAACTTTTCAGCTCGCGACCCCCAAATTAACAATGCCAGTGACTCGCGACCCCCAATATCCTCTGAGGTGGTTATAAATACAGAAACCTTGCATGCAATGGCGCACACACACCAAGAAACCAAAGTCTATTCTTCATTTTATTATTTTTTTTTTAAATGTATGTTGGTGCTGTAAATGTGCCAGAAAGTTTAACCTGGTCTTATAAAATCAATCTGCTGCATCTGACGCTATTACTGAGTCTTTAATATAATGTAATTACCTGAGGGGTCGCAATCCAATAGAACTAGTAACTTTAAGCTTATAAAGTTACTATTTACAGTAGTGTATATAGTAACTGTAAACAACAAATTTTTTAGTAGGTTATGGATTAAAATGTTAATTCTTATGGTTTAATAAAAATAGATTTTTGGAAATCACCAGACGACCCCCCCTTCATTGTCCCGCGACCCCTCGGGGGGGTCCCGACCCCCACTTTGAGAACCACTGCTTTAGACAAACTATACATTTCGAGAATGAAGTGCTGCTGCGGCTGAAAAACAATGTTTTAATGCATTGCAAACGGCAAAGGCACATCGTACGTCACTTCAGGAGGAGGCGTGAATTAATTTAGTTAAACTGGACATGGTCATCTTCCGGAAACATTACCAACGATCCATCAGGGGAATGTTTTGCCCCTCTCTCTCTCTCTCTCTCTCTCTTTTGGTAAAGCGCTGTCAACAAATAATTTTCCTCCACATTCCATAATGCAATTATGCACAGCGCATCGGCCTACTGCAGCTTGATTAGTCCAGAAACTACTTGTACTTTTTGCGGTTGGGTCTGTTTTAGTTCAGATTATATTTTCACGACAAGCGAACCGTTCCAGGGTTAGTTTGAAACCTCTTCAGAGAGGTCTCGGTACGCTCTTTTGTTGCACACTCGAGTATGATTGCCACATTCACACCTTCCTTAACAAACAGCACCAAGAGGCAAAAAAAGGCAAGTGTGAAAGCATTAAAAGTTCAATTTAGAAAAATTTAAGGCCCTTAAAAAGTCTTAAATGCTGTTACAAAGTATTACAATTTGCATCATTTATGATTATGCAGATGTAAAATTATAGTTGTATGCTAAAGTTTGAGATTTTGGGATGTTGTGTAGATTCTGAAATCGATAAAATCCTGCTATATTTGATGTCACTCTGCTTTGTTTACTGCAGACACCAAGTCAGCACTAATATTTCTGCTGTTCTATAGGCGACACCTTCTGGATTAACATTTTTATAAAGTATATGAATACCGTTTAAGTTTAGGATTAGTTTCTTACAATCAGTATTTATTGAATATATTCAAAATGTTGCCAATGTTACCGGTTCAGTCTTAAAGTGGCAATGACGTCTTGGAAATGTATGGAAAGACTCTTAAAAAAGGTCTCAAAAGGTATTGAATTTTCCTCTCTGATTCCTGTGTATACCCTGTTTTAACTGTTAAGTCAGACCAAAAGCAATCAGTGTGGTGTGAAAATCCACAGAAATGGCTGAACATGCTACAATTTATAATATTTTCTTCTTTGGTCTGGACCAAAACAGCTGATCTACAAATGTGAAAGCAACCTCAGATATTCTTAACCCGCTTTATGATAGAGAAGAGAAGATAACAAGCATAAGATAAAACAAAATGGCTTCCCTTTTTCATATTCTGTTCCTAAAAGTCACTTATTAGTGCTCATAAAGACATGTTTGTCTCAATTTCAACCACATGAAGCGGCAAACACCACAAATGATTGGGAACTCGCCTCACAGTCAATCAGAGTTCATAAACTTTAAAGGAATAATTTACTCCAAAAACAAACATTCTGTCATCACTTAACAATTACTCACCCTAATGTTTGACTAAACCATTTCGCCAATGACTTATCCAAGTGTTAATAACCTCACCGTCTCCTCTTTACTCTCTCAGGCTTTAAATGCCATCAGTGAAGTTGGAGATCTGCTTCAGCTGAAATACTCAAGAAAGTACAGGGGTGAAGAAAGCAGCTGTTTTTCCTATCTGGAGAGCCACCAGGACTAGCAATTTCCCATGATGAACAGGTTGTCTTTACCCCTGAGAAACATGTTTTCTTTTCTGTCTGTCTATTTTGTGTATAACGTATTCATCATTTACATGTCAATTCAATTCAGCGGGTGTTCACTGATGCTCACAAATTGACCAAATTTTCAAGTCTTACCTCTGGGTTTAGTAACCAATATTCATTTCATTGTGGAAGATACATTGTAGAAGAGATCTTACTTTCCTGTGTTCAACATCAGAAACGACACAGCAGGGTGCAAATTACAGGGGGGTTTCCGGAGGTCTAATTAACGCTCGATCACTCCTGAAGGACATCAAAACAAGATGACGCGGCCTGCACTTTAATAGTTAAGAAATAGTTTGCTCTGATCTGTATCTTAAATAAGATTAATAATTAAAACACTAGATTACTTCAATATACATTTGAACACCCCTATAATGGTTCATACCATTGTAAATGCATGTTTGCACCTCAAAATATTGCGGAAACCGCCAAATGTAGAGCACTAACAGACAGTGTAAGTGTTCACAAAACATGTTTCTTTAAAAAAAAGGTGTTTGTAGATGTCTGCAAAACGAGATAAATAGTTTGTATTTTATTATAAACTGACTCGAACATGGAAGTTAAACAGTAAAATAAGAAATAATCTTTCATAGTCATCCCAATATCATTGAGAACCACTTAATATCCCTAAAACACTGAAAACAAAATAGATGTAACTGAATTAAATATATAAATTTGGTTCATTGAGGCGTATTACTGAACACCCCACCAATCGTCAATGTATAATGCGCACCCTGTGACACAAGATAAATCTGCTTTGGTGTCGGAACTAACTTTCTGCATTAGCATAATATTCAGTTTTCTAGACAAATATATAAGTACGCAAAATCATTTTCCAAAATATCAGGCTTTTTGCCTTGTTTTCCATTTATAATGTCTGCAACGATGGAATTTACTCAGGGCGAAGGTTGGATAATGTAAAAAAAAAAATTTCTTTGGTCACTATTTTGATGGTCTGTTTGTTGAATTGAAGTTGCATTGCATCACATGTTAACTAATTCTCATTAGATTATAAGTAGACTGTTAGGTTGGGGTTAGTGTAAGTTGACATGTACTTGCAGAGTTTCCTTTAGTCAGTTAAATGTCTGTTGAAGCAGCAGTATTAACAGATATTAAGTAGGCCGTCTGCTAAATAGGCCTCTAATTTTTTTTGCACGATGTCTGTTTGGTAAATATTACAAATTTTATCTCGATATGTTTTAAACATAACAATAACCACATACAAATTATTAAATTGTATTCTATTGCAGTTTCCCCAGCCATATTAGCATAGCTATAAAAAAAAAGACTTTTATTAGAACAGTGTTTCTCAACCATGCTTCCAGAGGACCACCAGCTCTGCTCATTTTCCGTGTCTTCTTAACCAAACACACCTGATTCAGATCACCAGGCCATTAGGAGAGACTGAAATAGGTGTTACAGACAAAGGAGACATCCAAAACATGCAGTGCTGGTGGTTGATAAACACTGTGTAAGAAAACAAGCAGAGGTCCTGACTATGACAACTTTTATTTATTTATTTTTTTTGTGCGTGTATAATAAAACCGTGATTAAGACACTCACACCAAAATAACACTTTTATTTTTTGTGGTGTACTTCTATGCAAGTGTAATCAAGCTTTAAAAGCTTGAAATAAGCTCGAATTTAATACATATCCAAAAAAAAAAACTAAGGACAGAGGAGAGAATCTATTATAGTAGAACATGAAATAACTAAGAGATTATACATATCAATATTAAAGTGTCTATAAAATATCGACTTATTTATTAATACACATTTCAGTTTATCTGCTCTTTACCTAGCGCATACTATGTTTGCGCAAGTCCTCAAATCTTCAAATATAAATCTTTTCATAGGTGATTCAGCAATGTCTTAATGAACTTTTAAGGAGGAATATTGACATCCTCGGTTTCATTTCATCAGCTTTCTATTTAAATGATGCGTGTTAATTTCAGTTGTGGCACTTTTCACAAATAGGATGCAGTTTGGTGTACCTCACCTTTGTTTTTGCATCATTGTTTTTATTTATTTATTTTTTTAAAGACTGAAAGAGAAAGTTCCATACTGCTTGTAGAGAGAAATCTCCAAACACCACTAAAAAAAATTGTTAACTTGAATTGATAACAATTCAAAAATCTTTATTTATTGATAAAGTTTAAAACTGAAAACTTCCTGACATCTGTAAAAGAGTTTTAATCCATCATTTGTATTCTTATCTGTGGAAAGTGCCTTCATGTCGTACTTGAATATCTGTTACTTGCTGACCAATTGCAGCTTGTTAAGTGTATGACGTCTTAGCCAGGGCATTTCACAAGAAATACTCATTTTATTTATTGAGTCAACAGAAACAGGCTGACACTGAACAGAAACAGGCTGACACTGCGTTTAACATTTCATTCTTTACGTCTGCTGTTAACAGGCAGCGGTAAAGAGATATTCATGTTGCCTTTTGTATTCAGTAATTGCTTCTGAGTTTAATATTAAGAGTTATGAGTTCTTACCTTGTGTTCTTCTTAGTGCTAAATACGGGTCACTGTTTTGACACATGAAGATCTGTGTGTATGATGATGAGGCTTGTGAATGCCTGTCGGATGTACATTTTTTTCATTCCCTTTTGTGTTCTGAAGTCGTGTTCTTAATCCGAAAGGCAGCTCTACATATGTCTCTGAATGCAGAGGTTTGTATGCAGGACTTTAAAATCTCAGAGCTACTGATGACTGTTAGGAGATGCAGATATGACCGTGGCATGTACTGTAGGTTTTAAGTAGCCTTTATAAATGTATGTAATGCCAGCGAGCTGCATTTGACTGTGAAACCAAAGGGCATTCCACATTCAGTTTGTCTGTTTATTAGTTTGTCTCTTCGTTTTGTATTGCATTGTTCATCAAAGATGCGTCCTATCACAATTGTAATGTTTGTCTTTGCAAGAAACTGACATTCATTGAATGTGACTGATCATTTGTTTTTGATGATAATAAATAACATATTGAAAAGTGAGTTATGTCTCATCTCTTAATTAACAGAGCAATCTCTCTCTCTCTCTCTCTCACTCTCTCTCATACATACATATATATGTGTGTGTGTGTATATATATATATATATATATATATATATATATATATATATATATATATATATATATATATATATATATATATATATATATATATATATATATATATATATATATATATATATATATATATATATATATATATATATATATATATATATATATATATATATATATATATATATATATATATATATATATATATATATATATATATATATATATATATATATATATATATATATATATATATATATATATATATATATATATATATATATATATATATATATATATATATATATATATATATATATATATATATATATATATATATATATATATATATATATATATATATATATATATATATATATATATATATATATATATATATATATATATATATATATATATATATATATATATATATATATATATATATATATATATATATATATATATATATATATATATATATATATATATATATATATATATATATATATATATATATAC